TGAAACTCCACATCATGTACAACCACAAGAATGGAAATTTATATTCCATGTAGTATAATATGTCAAAATACATTCTACTGTCATATATAACTAAAAAGAACACGTAAAAAWTTTTTTTAAGGAAAACAAAAAAAAAGCACACACATAAAAAGGAATAATACAAGAAAAGTGCCATCTGAGAAACTGATTGTRTTAGTGCTGCATACTGTAGGGGAGTGCCGGGGGTTGAACTCAACCACCGACCCACATCCCCAGCCCTACTTTGTATTTTATTTACAGACAGAGTCTTAGTCCTTGCTTTTGCTGAGGCTGGCTTTCAACTCGTGATCCTCCTGCCTCAGCCTCCTGAGCCACTAGGATTTCAGGCACGTGCCACCTAACCCAACTAGTCCTGCCTTTTTAATTAACTAATTAAGGGTTGGGGATGTGGCTCAGTGGTAGAGTATCTGCCTAACATGCATGAGGCCCTGAGTTCAATCCCCAGGAACACACAAAAATAAATAATCTTTTATTACATAGTTATACATAGTAGTTGGGTTCCTTGTRAAGAAATCTCGTGTGTGTGCTACTGGGGAAGGAACCCCAAGCCTCACACAGGCTTGGWAAGCACTCTACTCTTACTCTTTTTTGGAAATGTTATTCCCAACCCCTGGTCTGTGATGAATTTTTATTTTCTTGGGGGAGAAATGAGAAAAATGAGGGCACTCATGGAATTTTTTTTTGTTTCTGTTTTTGGTACTGAAGATTGAACTCAGGGGCACTTTACTACCGAGCCACATCCCCAGCCCTCTTTTTTTTATTTTTTGAGATAGGGCTTTGCTAGTTTGCTGAGGTTAGTCTTGAATTTGCCACCCTCCTGCCTCAGCCTCCCTAGTGACTGAGATTACAGGTATGAGCCACTGTTCTGGCTCTTGTGAGTTTTTTTTTGAAGAGCTAACATATTCAATGTAAAAGACTGCCCCTTAAGATCATGAGGTCATTAGCCCATCACTCCCAAAGGGACCTGATACTCACTTCCGTCAACCCTTCCACTGACCCTGCAGCCCCTGGCAAACAGATCTGCCTCCTGTTATTGATTCTGCATTCTAGTATTTTATTATGAAATTTTAGAACTCAAAGAAAAAGATACAATAAACACTTGCACCGTCAACACTGAGACTTGACAACTAACAACTTTCTATGTGTCTATGTCCAGCTCTACTCTTTTTCCTTTTTAACTACTTGAAAGTAAATGCAACATCATGATACTTTAGCCATAATATTTCAAAATGCAGGTCCTAAGTGGAAGGACAAAAAGTCCTTTCTTTTTAGAAAATAGCGGGAGAACACAGTCATTTAGAAAAAAGTCCTTACTTGGCAAAAATACAAAGCTGGCAACCTTCCCCTAGATTTCTTTTTGAAGTTCACTGGGCTATGAATTCCCAAAGCTGGAGAAGCACTGCCCGCAGCAATACTCATTTCTATGGAGTGTTCTATGGTGACATGAATCTTCAAGCTTGGGCTTCATCTCCCACAGCTGCAGCTCACAGGGCAGGGGAGGCAGGTAGTGGGGACACTCAGCTAAGCAGCTTATGGGCTTTGGRGTTAGCTTGTCATCTTAAGGGCTTATTAGGATACATGCTCAAGGAAAATGGGCACACTCTGCTAAACATCAACCCCCAAATGAAAATCATGTCCTCAATGCCTTAGTTTTTCTGAGCAGAGAACACCTGGTATTGGTGAAGCGTGCCAGGGAATTGGAGCTTGTAAAGGCCACCATGTTGATTCCAAGACGTATCTTTTGATCCATCCATCTAAAGAACAGGGGGCTGTTTGGGGCTGGGCTAATAATATCTAAAATCATAAATGCAATCCCAGGGGCCGTCAAGGTAGTGGGACCTTCACTTTGTTTTCCAGCCCTTACCTGGATCTCCTCTGTAACCCCCCAGCAAGGTGAATGCTCCTCAGTATTGGGAAATCACGACCATCACTCTCTAGGCGTCATGCTGGGAATGGTATTTAACTCTCCACTTTCCATGTAATAATGGCAGGTTGTATAGGTAGCCTTAGCCTGGAATCCTGGGCTGCATGGCCACCGATGAGCCCCTGTGACCTGCAGGGCAGCTGGGTCCACTGCTACTTCCTTTCCTTCATCTGTAACCCAGTACCCCATGGCCTGCTCTGTCTTGGGAAGATTCATGGAAGGTATAGGTGAGTCCCTTAAGGCAGAGAAGCCCTCTGTGGTGTGGAGCAGAGATCCTGACCAGGACTTCCCCTGTCCCCCCAGCGGGAGGCTGACCTCTGCCAGGTGCTGCAGTGTTGTCCAAGGGGCCCCAACATGAATGGGTTCTGAGATGACAAGGCCATCTCAACAGAATCTGCGGACAGGCTTCAGGATTGTACACTCCCTGAGAAGGTGYCCCAAATTAGGCAGAAAGGCCTTTTCTGGATGCAGATCCCCACTTTTCTTTATATCACTGCTTATAAATGAAAACAAAGATTGAAAAATACAGATACCCATTATTGGTTGGAATTAGAGATGGTGGTCACAGAACATCATGAATACATTGTTCACTTTCATATGGTTTGGTATGTGACTCTCAACTCAATATATACATAAAAATAAAAATTACACTTTCAACATTATGACCCAGTACATACACATGTATGAATAGAGCAAAATTTCTACAAAACCATTCTTCCTTTTCTTGCTTAGATTTTGTGGTGCTGGGAATCCAACCCTGGGCTTGCACACACTWGGGGAATGCTCTACCACTGAGATACAGCCCGCCGCTACTCTTGGGGTTAACCTCCTATTTTCCTTTCAGCTATGGTGGGTCTGTTGTTATTCACTGATTCAATTCTATTACTAAATAAAAACTTTAAAGAAACTATGTGCCACATACTCTCTCAAGTGTTAAGAATATGGTGGTCCCTGTCTCCTAGGAGTGTGTAGCCCTGGGGGCCACAGGACTTCTGACCCACTGTTGTTTAAAACTCCACAGCATACCCTCTGTCTTCTCCTCATCCAGTTTTGTGATAAAAGGAAGCTTAAGGACAAATGCACAGCTCTCCTTGTGTCCCAGGGTCAAAGCAAATCTGCCAAAAGTTCAACATATAGGAATGTGTAGGGTTAATGTTTCCCACTCAAGMTAGAAAATTATGTTTACGGAGGAAAATCAACCAAACCTGGGGTGGGACATTAACAACAACAAAAAGACAAGTGATTGGAAAGCAGAATGTAGATCACTGTGGCTGACTGCTGAGATGGTGCCATGATTCCTCTTGGTACCCCACACTGGGTTTGGTGCCAGTGACACCCAAGACAAATGCTGACACACTGATGCTTTTTTGCTGTGTCATATCGGTCCCACAGCTACCCTTCACATCGACAGCCTGGTGGGTGTGGATGCCTTCCAAACCATTTATCCCCAATAGGCCAGCTGACTCCCAGAACAATGGTTGTTTTAGCTAGGTGTGGTGGCATACACCTGTAATCAAGACTTGGGAGACTAAGAAGGATCAGAAGTTCAAGGTCAGCTCATGTCCTTAAGTGTGGGATGTGGGCAGACTTGGGGGTAAAATGCCATGGTGGGGATATAGCTTGGTGGTTGAATGCCCTTGAGTTCAATCCCCAGTACCACCAACCCAATAAAAGACGACTGATGGGTACAGGAGGCTCAGCTCCTCACAAAACCACATGCCTCCCGAGGTTCTGGATCTGTCCTGATTCTCACTGAACACACTCGCCAATCTAGGGTTATTAGAATGAGAGCAGTATGGCCCAGGGGAAGAGTCACTGAAGTGGGGGAGGGCTTGAGGGACACAGGTAGAGTTACAGCCAAGTAGAGGACTGTATCTACAATGAATAGGCCACGGAGGATTCAGAGACACGAACAGAAATCAGCAGAAGGGTAACAAGTCATGGCTCCCCGAGGCCAGAGAATCACACTTCGCTGCAGTGAGGCAGCTGCCCACCTTACGGGCACGTAGCACCAGCCCCAGGTAACAATGTAAATAYAGGTATGCTTCACTTTACCCGGGATTTCTGAGGTTTATTAGATGAAAATACTTCTTAGTATACATGGGGCACACTGAAGTGGGACACTGAAGTCAATGTAGAAGGGCACAGCCAGCTCAGTCTATCCCTCCAAAAGACTCACTTCTGCATCYCCTGGGGCCTTGGTGGCAGACCAGCACCAGCATGCCCACCTGAGAGTCAGAAGTCTGGTCAGAGTATGCTGGGCATGGTGGTACACACCTGTAATCCCAGCAATCTCAGTGGGAGGCTGAGGCAGGATTGCTAAATCCAAAGCCAGCCTCAGAAAAAGAGTAAGGTCCTGTCACAAAAAAAAAAAGGGGCGGGGAGGGGGGACTGGGGATGTGGCTCAGTGACTACCTACCTCTGGGTTAAATTCCTGGTACCAAAACAACACAAAAACCCAGCACTCCTCCCACCCCACCCCAAACAACACAACATATACACACACACCCATCTAGGATGAGGATCTCTTGCTTGGCCATGCACTTTACATTTGTGACAGAGGACATATGACAAGACAGGAGAATAGTTCTGCATGTCCTGGTGCACTGCAATCTGAGGTTTCCAGGTGACCTGCCCTTGCCTCTCCCAGCTGAYGGGTCTCCAACCATTTATTTATTCCAGTGTCCATACAAAATTCCATGTGCCCCAATGGGGGAGATGCAAAAGGGGCTTTGCAGCATACATGACAAGGAGCAGCACAAACACAGTATGTGTTTAAGATTGTCAGGGAATGGGGATGCAGCTCAGTGGCAGAGCCTTGTATGTGCAAGGCCATAGAAAACTATTTATTTATTTATTTATTTATTTGAGAGAGAGAGAGAGAGAGAGAGAGAGAGAGAGAGAGAGAGAGAGAGAGAATTTTTTAATATTTATTTTCCATTTCTCGGCGGACACAACATCGTTGTTTGTATGTGGTGCTGAGGATCGAACCCGGGCCGCACGCATGCCAGGCGAGTGCTCTACCGCTTGAGCCACATCCCCAGCCCCATAGAAAACTTTAATCCTCAGCTTTTAAAACATGTTAATGTCTGGACCAAAACAAGTCTTGTAGCAGGAGCCACTTACAAACAAGGGGCACTCTGGCTCAAACATCCAGGAAGCAGTCAACCAGCTGTGAATGCTGGTGGCACGTGGGAATTATCTGGGAATGTCTGCATGGTCCCTGGACTAGAGGAAGCAGCAGCAGTGGGAGGGCACCAGGAGACCTCAGGCACTGAGGCAGAGGCTGCGGGGTGAACAGAAGCTGCTTTCCCCAGTGCTGTGTGACCCCACACTTTTATGTCAGCTGTGGCAGTTAAAGGACTGAAGAACTTTCAGAGTGGGATGGAGCTCAAACAGAAAAACAGAATGCAGCCCTGCCTGTTTCCCTCAAAGTTCTCAAAAACAAGGTCATCTGAGGAAACTGCGATGCTTATTAGAGGCCTATTTTCAGAATCACTTTTCTCTCTGAAAATAAATGCAAGGGCTCATTCAACTTTGCAAGGCTGGCTGTTTCAGCCCGGATTGTGGGAACCAGATTAGGTTTKGGGGCTAAGCCTATGCACGTTGTCTGAGTGTCCCTTCAGAGTGGTGACATCACATGTTGGCTCTTCCTGCATGTTAGGTATCTGAGGTGCCACAGATAAGTCACTCTAGAGCCCCAATTCATGCCTCTTCAGCTCAAGGCCCAAAGGAGACACATCAGGTCACACACCCTGTGGACAAAGGTGTCCTGTAGGAGGATCAGGATGTTCGGCTCCTATACCAGAAATGATGAAGTTCTGAAGAAACTCACCCAGGTCAGTTAAGATTTGCACAGGATGTGAAACAGGAATATGGATGCTTTATATGGAGTGATGATCTGTGGGATGAGGTGATGTGATGAACAAGAAAACACAGCAGCAAAGTACTATCCATTATTTACAAAGAATAAATACCAGAAAAACCAGTCAATTTGAAAAGATAACAGTTTTTTTTTTTTAAATTTACAATCAAGTTCTGTTGGGCAACATACATAAATAAATAAAAGATGTGCCCGGCTGTGAATTTCCACTCCCCTCAATGCAAGTTCTCTGAATGGCAAACCGAAAAGGAAGACACAAGCAGGGAAAGGACGAAGAATGGAGACGATGTCCCTGTCAGAGCAAAGATGCCTCACTCCTTTCTCCTGCTCTGGCACTCGTGTCCCTAACTGTACAGAGAACAAGTGTAGAAGGAAAAAAAWAATAATAATAAAATAAAGTGCAAATTAAAATGTGATAAAAACATGGTGTTCTGGACACCCAGACCAGAACTAAAATCTTACACAGGTAAAATGGTAAGGACGAATGTCCCAGCCTTCATCATGGCCCAACAGGGAACACAACACTGCCATGCTCCCCAGACTGGGCTTCATGCACTGAACTCTGAAGTCAGCGCAGGCAGGTCTGGCAGAGGGCAGTGGCTGGAGTCACCACCACCAGCTTCGGAGCAAATACATCAGAGGTCTTAAATTCTTTGTTATCAGTGTGAACGTGGCAAGCACCCACCTTCTGGGCATCTGCAGAGTGATACGGGAGCACATTCTTCAACTCTGCCATAAACCCGCCTCACTGGAAAAGGTTGGCACATGTCCTTGCCTATCTCAAAAAGATTTTTAACCAAATTTATATTCATTCCTTGACCAAAAAGTAGATACGTAGAAGAACTGAGGGGAAGGGAGTCAAGGTTCTGAAGACCAGTCAAGAGACCTCAAGTTTCAGCAGTAATAAGACGAGATCACGAGAGCCCCGTGACAACCCCAGACCCCATGTTTGGGGTTTCCTCTAAGCCAATGCTTAGAGCAAGTCCACTGGGCAAAGGACCTCCAGGCGAGGGGTATGCATCAGRTAGAACCGATGCTGGAAGGATGGGAGAAGCACAGCTGGGAACCAACCCAGACATGTGGGGTGTCATTGGCACTGTCATCCAGTGAGGAGACCCAGTGGGGACCCTGTGCTCCCCAATGAGGTATGGAAGATCAGAGCTAGTAGTGTTTCCCACCCCAACAGGACAAGAGCCCAAACCTCGGCCAGGTGACTTGCAGGGTCAGGCTGTTTCAGTGTTGGTTCTTCCAGGCCATTAGAGAGCAGAGTCAATATTTTCAGTATTCCCATCCAAGGAAGGCCACCGTGCCACATGGCTTGAGCTCTTCTTGGGAAGGACTTGTGCCCACAGGACAGGGCTGTGCGAGTCTCTGCGCCTCTCCTAAAGGCCATCAAGGTTGTGCCCACAGCACAGCTTTACTGCTTTTGTCCACACTGACAACATGAACACCAGAGGGAGACCATGCCACCGCGTTGATGGAGGAGCTTCATGGAGAGACCAGAGAGCACTGGGATTAGGGCCACAGTCAGCCAAAAACCAGACCCCGTGCATTCAGAGTCTAGGTGTGCCCACCCAAGCAGTGACTCATTAACAGCAAAAGAATGCTGGAGACAGTCTTCCTGCACTGTACACAGCAGCACTGGAATAAACGGAGTCTGGCTCCCTTAGCAGTTGGGCCTCAGCTTAAGGGAGCAGCTGTGAGTGAACCAGGAAGACAAACTAAGACTCTGAGGGGCAAGCAGACCTGGACAGCCAGAGGACAGGCATTCTGGAGAAAGCTGGTTTTTTTTTTTTTTTTTTTTTGATATCAGGGACTGAACTCATGAACTCAGACACCTCACTGCTGAGCTACATCCCCAGGCCTTTTTATTTTTTGAGACATTTTCTAGCTAAGCCAGCTGAGACTGGCTTCAAATTTGTGACCTCTTGCCTCAGCCTCTGGAATTGCTGGGATTATAAGCCTGTTTTTGAAAGTTTAATAGAAAAATGAGGAAAAGCAAGAGGAAAAGGGGCCATCATACCTGGCAGGGGGTCTCTGTTGTAACTAGCAAGTGGGCTTGGGTGGATGGGAAAAAGCTAAGAAAAAAGGGAGCTGGGCACTGCCTATAAGGTAGAAGGGAATCAGTGTTTAGGAACAGGGCGATTCAAGGAAGAAAGGGAGAGAGACGAACAGAGTAAGGAGAAGAGAGAAGTGGAAAGGGGACAGGGAAGGTGTGTTTCCCCGACTTTTCCTAATGGCCACCATTTAATGGCTCTACTTGGAGCATCTCGAGTAACTTCCTCTGTCTGCTGTACTGACGGCTATGGTCAACAACCACAGCCTTTGAGGGGCCCACTGAGTCTGAAGCTCAAAGAGGACATGAACCCTAGAATGAAGTCACAGATCCTGCTTTCAAACCTTGGGAAGGTGCGTGTATGTGCTGACCAGGTTTGCCATACCTGTGCTGTTTTGAAAGAACCTTCTCCACTTTCCCTGTAAGCACACTCCAGACATAGAGAGAGCCCTCAGCTGAGCCTGCTGCCACATAACTGCCATCAGGGCTGAGGAGACAGAGAACAAAAGTTATTAGCTCCCCATCCCAACTCAGCATCCCCATGACCCTCTTCCCAAGAGGTAACGCTTCCTCACAGGAGGCAAGCATGCAACTACTTCTCTGGACACCCTCATCACTTCTTGGGGGTTCAAGTCCCTAGCCATCTATCAGACGCAGGAAACACATAGGGAGGCGAAAAGCCAACCTCCAAACAGCTGACAGTTCCCAATTTGCTTGCTGAATGGTTCAGTTGAGTAGAAAAGGAATAGGAAACATCAAATGTAGAGATGCTTCTCCAGAGTACAGGTGATGATCCTGGACACACAATTGGGAGTAGCATGGTATATGGGAGAAGATAGGAGGAAAGGGCAACTAGAAACCACCTTGAGTTGCCATCTCTCAAGTGCCAGCTCAGTTCCACCAAGTTCCCAGGGCTTTCCTGCCATTCCCCAAAAGCTCTCCAACAGGCTGGAATAAATGGGTGGGTAATGGAAGGGGAATCTGATGGCCCACCCAGAACCAAGCAACAATTATTTTGGGGCACAATCCACTTAAGTTTGCGCAACTGCAAAAGGAACATTAGGAAGGGAAGAGACACTGACGGTGACCCCAGAATGATCTTCAGGCTCACTCCTGCATGCTGTAGTTCACACACTAGACAAATCCAGCTCTATTTACTTCCCCAGCAGGAAAACCCCATGTGCTAACCTGAGATTAACCAAGCTGGGTTGGGACAGTGCTACTAACCTGAAGACAACTCTAGTCCAGTCAGAGCCACACTTGAATCCAGGTGCACTGAAACAAACAATAGGCACTGTCACCCCAAAAGCTCAGCTAGTGGGACAGAAGCAGACAGGGCCAGGGTCCTGAGACACCCCTCAACTCTGTTACCTGAATGTCTGCTTGATGGCATTTGTCCGCAGATCAATGACTTTCAGCAGGTCATCACGGGAACAGCTCAGAAGTTCAGTCCTTTCTGGGTTTAGATCCAAGGCAGTGATCTTCCCCAACAGCTCCATTTCTCGAACCACACTCTCTGACCTAAGGGAGATGAAAAATCTGAGAAAYCTAACATAGAAAGGTCAGAACGTCTCCACTTTAACTAGGATGCTGTGTCACACAGAAGAGAAGGTGCTGCAAGTCAACAGGCTCCAACAGCAATCAACATGTTCTCAGGCTCAGAGTGACAACTTTGTTATTTTCCCATCAATTGGGCCTCCTCTGTTGATTTTATCTAGTAGTTTTGAGTATTAAAACTCTGAATCTGGGAAGAATTTTCATGGCAATCAGAATTTCTGATCAGCCAGTATCCAATTTGTATTACTTTTTCTTTTCTTTTTGGTGTTTGGGATCAAACCTAAGGCCTCACGTGTATGCTGAATCCATGCTCTACCAGTAAGCGCACCTCAGGCTCCAATCAGTACCATTTTAATGACAACTTCTGCTTTTAGATAAGTGTGGAACAGACCTTGCTTTAGTGGGCTGGGAAGTCTCCTACTGGCATCTTACCATATTCCGTTTGGCTTGGCCTTCAACTCCAGGGCAGCTGCCCTAGGCACTCTGTTGCTGTTTCCCCTGCCCTTTATGCCCTAGTCTACACAGGTCAGTAACAGCCCCCTGGGTAGACAGGGCCACAGCCAAGGGAAGTCCTGACCCCTCCACAGTGATTGATTTGTTTGTAGTGGGGACTGAACCCAGGGGTGCTTTACCACTGAGCCATATCCCAGTACTTTTTGAGACAGGGTCTAAGAGGCTGGCCTTGAACTTGCAATTCTACCTTAGCCTCCCAAGTCACTGGGATTACAGGCAAGTGCCACACAAAGCCCAGCTCCACAGTGATATTTTTGTAAGCTTCTAATGAATTATTTYCTACTGTAACTAGGAAGTTTTTCTTATTGTTGCTAAATCTGTAACTTGAGGCATACCGCACTACTGCTTTGGAATATTTAACAGTTGAATTAGGGAGTGAACTAGGAGACTCGCAACATCTATCCAATTTAACTCTAAAAATTCCATGTTTCAATGTCAAATTTCTCTTCAGATGCCCTTTTATATCTTGCCCTCTACTGCCTTGGATTCAGGTCCTCATCAACTCTTTGATATCCCTGCATTCCAACATGACCTCTACAAATGACACCAAAGTAATCTACTAAAGTCTTGTGAAGTAATCATGTCCTTTCTTAACACTTAATGACTCCAGGACAAAGACACAGCCATGTGTGGTGTCTCATACCCACAATCCTAACTACTGGGGAGGCTGAAGCAGGAGGATTGCAAGTTAGATGCCAGCCTGGGCAACAAAGAGAGACCCTGTCTCAAAATAAAATGAAAAAGGATAGGGGGAGAAAAAAAGGATTGAGAGGTCTGGAAACAACTCATACAGCCTATGGAAATTTATCCCTATCAATCCCAGTGGCCCACGCCCTCCACTTCCTGCCCACTTACTTTTTTTTTTTTTTTTGGTATAGGGGATTGAAACCAGGGCACTCTACCACTGAGCCACATCCCTACCCCACCCACTTTTTACATTTTATTTAGAGACAGGGTCTCACTAAGTTGTTGAGGCCGGCTTTGAACTCGTGATCCTCCTGCCTCAGCTATTCTCTCAATTCTCCAGACTAATCATAACATCCTTGGACAGAGGCAGCCATGTCTACTTTGGTACACTGCTCACTGACTTGTGTATCTGTCCCTTGGATTTTATTTCAATTGGCCCAAGACAGGCTGGTATCTTGTCATCTCTGCAACAAGGGGCCTGCCCATGGTGTATGTGCAACAACTGAAGGCTAACCCCAGCAGCTGACACTGCGGTGAGGGAGAGAGAGAGCATACTRTTAAGATATTGGTGTCCTAGAGCTCATTTCTGCCATTTCCTGAGATTTAAAAAATATAACCCACCTACGACACATTCCCACAACTCTACCACATACAGACTTTTGTCTGCTCCCCCACCAAGTTTTTGGGTGACATACCGGATATCCCAGAAACGAATTTTCTTGTCAAAATGTCCACTCATTACGCACTGCTCTGTGCAAACAATATCATTGCAACTGGATCCTGCAAACACTGTCTTTATGCCTGAAAGAAAATCAAACACCATTCATCAAGCACAGCCACCAAAAGGCTATGTATATAACACTGCTACACTCTACCCACTCAACTATCACAATTACCAATTTAAATGAAACCTCAAATAGCAACTGCCACTATCTCAGTGCCCCTCTTAATATGAAACCGAACCCGAAGTTCACAGTGTACCACATGAAATGCAAGCTCAGAAACACCACCTCCAAGACTACTGTCTACATGAATACACAGAGAGACTGAATTTCCTCACAGACTTTGCTGCGAAGGTCCCAGAGTTTGAGCGTCCGGTCATGACTTCCTGAGACGATCCGTGCATTGTCCAGCAGGAACTTAGCAGAGAGCACTTTCCCACTATGTCCTGTGAGTGTGTGCTAGGAAAGAAAATAGCCACAGTGAGCCTTGGGGTGCAACCAGCTGGCCATGCTGGAGGAGCAGGAGGCACTCAATCCTCCAGAGCCAATCTCAAAACACCCTGAGATCCGACCAGGAACTCCAAGACAATGGGAAGGTAAAGAGCAAGAAACATAGGACAGGAGGCATGTTCATTCACTTAGTCTCAACAAAGGAGGCTACATATCTCCTATGAAGCAATTTCAGTGAGGCAGCAACATTTCTGGTCTGAGTAGCTTACAGAAAATTCCAGGAAGTCTCTGTCTTTGGGTGTTGTCAAGAGGTGAGATCTTTCTACGGCTTGAATCTTTTTTTCTTTTTTTTTAGTTGTAGTTGGACACAATATCTTTAATTAATTAATTTATTTTTATGTGGTGCTGAGGATGGAACCCAGGGCCTTGCCCATGCTAGGCAAGAACTCTACCACTGAGCCCCAGCCCCAGCTTGGATCTTGAATGCCTCTCAAAAGCTCATGTTTAAAAGGCTTGGTCTGCAGCCTATGGCACTACTGCAAGTGCAGATGCTTCAGGAGGTGGTCATAGAGGGGGAAAGTCAAGGTCGTTCCCTTGAAGGGGATACTGGGGTCCTAGTCTTTTCCCATCTCACTTTTTGCTTCTTGGCCAAAAGGTGAATGGGTGGGGCTCTACCATGCACTATCATCATCATGTGCTGTGCCACCACAGGCCAAAGGTGACAGGGCCAAGCAACCAGAGATTGAAACCTCTGAAACCACAAGCCAAAGTAAATCTTTCCTCCTTTTAAGCTGCTTACTTCAAGGTATTTTCCTGCAGCAACAGAAAGCTAACGTAGGTTTCAAGACCAAGAGGATAAATCTCCCAATAGCATTAAATAAAACCCTAGCATCACCAGCACCAAACTCCCCTGTCCTTCCCTGACCTTGGAAGGGGTGGGGGTGGTGAGAAAAGAAAGGGGCAGGTGAGTGGGCATGGGGGACCATATCTGGGGCCTGCCCTTGCTAGGTAAGTGCTCTCCCACTGAGCCACACCCCTAGCTCTACTACAGACACCTGCTTATTCTGTTCTTGATTTTTTTWAAAAAATCAATCTCCATTATATCAAAATAAAAGATTTAAAAAGCCTGGATTTTGTCCAGTACCACTGCAGTGAGGTTAGACAGGTTATCTGCAGACATTATTTATTAAAGGAAGCATCAGAACTTTACATACTTAAAAGCTCTGGGGCGTTTTCTGTCAGAGGTCTCAGCTTGAAAACGTCAGATCACAGCCACAGATACCAGCTCTCCCAACCAAAAGTCCCTTGCCCTTTGTGGCTAAGCTGTTGGATGCAACCACCGTGTCTTCCCTTGGCTCACCAGGGAACACAGACTCAAGCCATCCCTGCCTGTCAGCTGCTCTCTGGCCCATCGTGGCACCACTGGAGCCTGATGGGATTGAGGCAGCTGGGGACATTCAGGATGCTGGGAGGGGACCTGGGCAGTCAGACCTTTTACTACTCATCATCGACCTCTTTTCACAATGGGACTGGCATTTTTATACATAAAAAATTCCAAAGGTTCAAAAAGTATTCAACCGGCCGGGGACGTGCCTCAGTGGTAAAGGGTTTGCCTGGCATGTGTAAGGCCCTGGGTTTGATCCCCAGAACTGCCAAGGGGAAAACAAACCCCAAAATGGCAGCAAATAACAAAAACTTAAAAGGTATTCACTGATCACTGATGCTTTCTTTCAAAGTAAAAAAAAAAAAAAAAAAAAAAAAAAAAAAAAAACTCCTCGAGTCCAGGAACTCAAGCCATTACACCCACATCCCGCAAGCAGAAATGAAAGGACAAAGGACGGAGCAGCCCACCCCACCCATCCAGCTCATCAATGCACTGACAATTCCTACTGCCAGGTCTCAGTGACACAGCCACACCAAGCTAAGGGTTTCAACTTTTAAAATGGGGATGGGAAGAATAAATATTGAAAAATACCTATGAATATGCACTACCTCTTGTCTGCACCTTCTATTCTCTATATTCTACTGTGTTTTTTTTTCAAACTATTTGATAATATCTGTAAACTTCTGGTAAGATCAAAAAAACTCCAGCACAAAAAGGACTCTGCTCAGCACAAACTGGCTGAGGTTTCTGAAGTAAAAACTACATCTTACCTAGGAGCCGATCCTTACAACGGGCACTTTTCCACATTGGTTACAGAAGTGAGCAGCTGGGTATTCAACTCAGTTAGTTCCTCAAGACAAATAAGCATCCAGGTAGTTGTGCAGTAACTTTTAGATTTTTTTTTTGGTACTAGGGATTGAACACAGGGGTGCTTTACCACTAAGCCACAGCCCAAGCACTTTGAATTTTGAGACAGGGTCTCACTAAGTTGATGGATTGAAGTCCTACACCACCGAGTCCCATGTAACTTTAGAAAACAGGGACCCTATTTTGTTTCCTGAACCCATTGAGAGTTTCATGAGTATTCTCTGGGTAGAGAATCCACTGTAAAAGGCCTCCAGATCTTCAAATGCTTACTTCGGGATGGGACTCCATTGAAAACAGGTCAAGGCCCTCAGCACCAACTGGTAATGAAAGGAGGGTACAGTTCTGACATGGCACCATCAACAGCAGCCTGTGAAGGTAGGGGTTGCCCACCAGCATCCTGTGGGCACTCTCTCCAAGGAGGAATGGGTCCATCTTTCCACCTTGCTCACTTGGACAAAGTCGCCCAATACTCTGGCCTTTGTCTTTTAGGTCTACCTTCCTGGGCCTCCTTCTTGATATTTCAGGGCCAAAGCTTGAAGGCCATCTGTATGCAACTTCTCTTAGGAATGAAAAATACCATCCTGCACAAATGGTTTACTCTCAAAAGGTTCCCTCCTCTTCCAGGGCCTAAGATCAAGGAAGGTTATTGGTACCTCTTCAATGATTAGTCGGCCTTGCTCTATTCTCAGTGTTGAATAATATAGACCAGCTGAATGTAGGAAAGAGCACAGACCTCAATTAAAACGCCAACCTTATTATTTACTAACTTGCATGACTTTAGACTCCTTCCCCTTTGTAGGTTATTTAAGACTAAAATTCCTCCTCTACCTCCATCCAGAACAAGAACACAACACATTCTTCCTTTATCACCTTTAGGGCTCTGCTCTGCTTTTCTTAAAAAATATTTTCTTAGTTGTCAATGGACTTTTATTTATTTACTTATTTATTTATATGCAGTGCTGAGAATTGAACCCAGTGCCTCACACGTGCTAGGCAAGTGCTCTACCACTGAGCCACAACCCCAGCCTGCTCTGCTCTGCATTTCTGAGAATCTTTTGTCAAGTGAAAAACAAGAATTTCAACTTTTCAGATACTAGCTACACCTAATACTGCTCACCTTCCACACAGCTTTAAGGAAGACAGAAAGCCTAAAGTGTTAACTCTGTTTCTAAAGATTCACCTAGCTTCAGCCAGGCACCCTCCAATCAGAACACCAGGAATCTACCTAATAGACCGTTCTAATAGAGCTCCCCACCTCCCAGTGGATTCAAGAAGTTCCTTTTAACATTGTGCCATTTTTTATGTAGTTGACACAAAAATAGCTGTGTCAAACTTATAACCATCAAGTTCAGATCTTTGTCTTGGATGCAAAGTTAGGCTCAAATGCAAACTGCCTCAACATCTGAGCCTACTTCTACACCTGTTTCCTATTTTCCAGCATCAGGAGTCATTCACATCTATCATAAGTATACCCATTTGTACTTTTTCTACTTTCCAGCTTACTCTATGAGGTGAATCACAATTCACATGCTGATGCTAAAATCTGTAAAGCTAAGCTAAAATTGATATCTATATAAAAAGTACCTAGTCCTTATGGGACAGGAGGAGTATCCCCAAGTCTTCCATGGACATGGGAGGGTCTATTGCAAACATGCTGAAATTGAATCTTAGACAAAATATGGGAGTAAGTAGAAACAAATTTTCCCAAGGAGAAAAGTGTCAATCAAGTATGATTTTCAGGGAAGCACACACAAGTCCCCTAGTTATTCATTTGCCATTTTCCTGTATTGTGTGCCTTGACAACCACATGGCTTGTACATTATACTTGTCTTAACCCAGCCTTACCCGTAATCGATAATCATCCACAGTCCAGATTCGGCTTGCAAAATCATTTGAAGCTGCTAAGAGGTAAGCCCCCTAGAGGAATAAATGAAAGAAAAAACAACTTTTAGCTAAAGTAGAGGAATTCAGTTCACAAGAAACAAGTTTCCTAATAATCAAGTCCAAGAAGGGTTAGATGCCTAAAACTACACACCAGATCTGAACACCATCACCACCAGTGTGTTATCAGCCTACAGAYCCCCTTCAAGTTAAGCTTTCCTCCTGAAATCACTCAATTTCACTGGAATGTTGAGATTTCTAAAGCTCAATGGAACTCAGTCTCCCACGCTCACCTTTTCCCTCATCACCTACCCTACGCAGCAAATACAAATTCTCCACATACAATCCAAGCAGAAAGCCCAGAAGCACCTACTCTTCCCTGGGCTCAACTCCCAACTACCCATCCTCCAAGACYACCTACTTTCCATGCATTCAGCTAGACCCTTTCCTCTTTTGCCTGCACCTCAGCCCCAACCTGAATCAAGTCTGCAGAAGCACTGGATGCTGGCCACTGCAGATCTGCCCCTCCCAATTCAGTCTTCAATGTCAATTATTGAAGAATTTAATGCTATATCTGTTTCTGAAAACCTCTCAAGGCTGGGGATAGATCTCAGTGGTAGAGCATTTACCAGACATATGCAAAACCCTCCACATGGTTTCACTGAGTCAAGATATACTCTGACCTACATCTAACTTTCCAGTCAAACTTCCTTATCATTACCCAATTAACTCAAGGAGTGGTTATTAACCCATTTTTGTCCCACTGTCCAAGATGTGAAGCACCTATAMAAACTTACATAATGGGATAATACAATTACATAAGAGGAATAATAGTATAATGACAATGTTCACTAATATACATTAATAATATATATGAGCTCACCTAAAAATGCATCCATGTCAATTCTCTTGACATATTCATAATAACTAGGGACTTACTGGGTTAAGAAGCTAACAGTTTGTGTTAGGGGCACAAAGACAACTAACCACCAGTGCCATGCCCTGGGAGTGAGTTCTTAGCTTGATAAAAGCAGCAGATGTAGACATCTCTCTCTCTCTCTCTCTCTCCAGAATGGGTTTTTGCACAAGACATTCCAGGTCCCAGAGGACCCTTACCCAAGTAGGGATATGAAAAGGACACCTGAGATAACAGAGACAGAAGGACTCTTGAGCAGACTACTGTCACCTCACCTGGCTACTGCACACTAGTCCTACCTCTAATCTTCTCTTTGCTTCCTCTCTCTGCAATTTCAGCACTGGGCTTTTTGCATCTAACCTTTGATTACCTGGAGTTGTGCCCAGTTGGCTTATTTTGTTTCCTAATCCCCACTCTGAAATGCTGATAAGTGAGCAGTTCATTCCTATTTTACACATTACTTTAGTACAATGACTCACAGTTTAATGCTTTTAAACCACTCTCATTTAAATGGCAATTTACTGAAGGGTAGGACCATATGGTGCCCCTATAGCACAGGATCTAAACACACAAAATATAACAATAAAATAGAATTAAAAATACTGAGTAGGCTAAGTACAATGGCACATGCCTGTATCCCTAAGTTCAAGACCAGCTTGGGCAACTTAGTAAGACGCTGTCTCAAAACAAAAAAATGAAAAAGTGGCTGGGGATATGTAACTTGGTGGAGCAGCACTCCAGACTCAATCCCCAGTACCAAAGGCAGGAGGTACTAAGTAACAGAATTATAATATCAGAGTTGATAGACCAGTTAGCTCTATAATCTACTTCTACCTTTCTCTAACATGGATTTGACTTAAGATGTGAAGAATGGCAGAGAAACAAGTTACTTCTTAATAATTAGATGTCTAACTTTTCAGAAATCTCCAAAATCACAGAAACTAGATACTTACAGCACTATCAAATTCAATGCTTGTAATTCCAGCATTACTACCAGACAGGGAGCCCTTGAACTCACATTTGTCTGTATAAAAAGATAAGATTTAGAAAAGACGGGAAGTTGATAAKGAGTTTGATGGGGCACAATGATAGTCAATTTACATTGTCAAATAGAAACTTTCCTGCACCCTTACAGAATAAAACAACAGGACAAATAGAATGTAAGAAACAAAATATATTGTTAGCACATATAAATGGGTGCAKATTCTAGCATATTATTAAATATTCTAAGACATTTTGAATTATTAATCCCCTTTACAAAGAACTGTATTTTATAAAATGTCAAATTAAACTAAAGACAGAATTTATATAGGTCCATTACTTCTTTTTTTAAAATATTTTATTTACATTTTAGTTTTGGGCAGACACAACATCTTTGTTGGTATGTGGTGCTGAGGATCGAACCCGGGCCGCACCCATGCCAGGGGAGCACGCTACCGCTTGAGTCACATCCCCAGCCCCTAGGTCCATTACTTCTCAGTAAAATTTTATAATTCACATACATTAATCTTTGGGTTTGATCAGTACTCGTGCCAACTAATTTTGTAGAAATCCTGATCATCAAAATTCTGAATCTATGGTGTGATAATTTTCATTAAGGTCTGAAAAGAAATTTTTCAAATTTTGGTAGAAAGCCAAAAAGGCTCAGTTTGGAGCTTTAGGGATTTGTCCTTAAAGTTGCTTTGCATATACTGGGATACTGGCAAGACAACCAAGAGCCAATGATTCCTGCCTTGCCCAACAGGGCTGATGGCACTTTTCCTGCAGCCCTGCCCGCACCCCTCTAATCTTCTCAGAGGTGTTTTTTACTGACTGGGCAGTGAAACAAAATGTCTCGTACTACTCTGAATTAACTGCAAAAGCATAATCAAAATAGACTAGTTGTTCAACTTTCTTTTTGTGGTGCTGGGGATCAAACCTGGACTTGATGCACACTAGGCAAATGCTCTACTRCAGGAAGCCCTCCATGAATTACATACACGAGGATCTTCTCTCAGTATGGAAGCCAGGAAATTTAGGTTTAGCACTGCAAACTATCTGTGGCTCTCCAGGGACAACACATCGCCCGCCCAATGCATATGACCTTTATCTCTGCTCTGCCAAGAAGATCCCTCATAGTAGCTCCGAAGATGGGTTTCTTTGTTGTTCTAGCTTTATTTCTCATCCAGCTCATTTCATGGAGGGGAACCCCATTTCCACCACCTGTGTGGGCCATGGGCGAGACTCTACTACTGAGCCACACCCCCAGCTCTGCTTAAAATTTTATAAATCAAACCCCCTAAAATTTATTTTCTTAATAGGGCTTCATTATTATTTATAACAATTTTGGCCATTAGCATCCACTCTACCAGGGGGATTCTGGACAAAACAAAAATTTCCATGGGCTTCAACAGGCTGTCACAGCCAAGGTTTTTTGTTTTGTTTTTGTTTTTTAAACTGAGTCACTTTCTGGCAAATCAAAGGCGAGACAGGTACAGTGCTCACCAATAAATCTATTTTAACTAAACTATTTAAATAAATCTATTTAAACTAAAATCTATTTAAACAAACATCAAAAGTGGTAATCCTCTAGAGCACAGAAAAGACTAGCGTTAAGTTTGAGGCCAACTTTAGCAACTTGGTGAGACCCTGCTTCAAAAAGTGTTGGGTATGAGCCAGCAGTAAAACACCCCTGGCTTCGATCTCCAGTTGGGGAGTGGGTGGGGAGAAGTGATTTCAAGTTATATGATTCTGATTAGTTCTGGCTCCACTACTCACTTGGCCATGTAATTTGCTAACTGTGTATATCAAATACACAAATTATGTTGCATCTCTGAGTTTTCCTGTCTTCATCTATCAAAAAAGGGTAAGAACTACCTTTCTAACCACATGAGGCTATTGTTAAGGATCACAGGAATTAATACAGACAAAGGCACTTTGGAGCTATTTACTGGGGACAGTGAAAATGTATGTGCTACAACTATAGAAACCTGACAAAGTGGTTCCAGTTCCAATAAAAATCTTATTACTTACATTTAGTTCAGTGACAATATATGTACATGAAACTGAATCTCAAAAATGTCAAAACTGGACTATATCCACCTTCAGAATTCTAAAAGATGTTTTCATGAATACCACTTGGCTCAACACGTCTTTTCCAGGTAATAATCCTCTTTTTCCTTTACTCAAGCTTAGATATGGCTTCTTTTTATCTAGGTCATGGTCATTGGCATTATGATTGGGGACGGGGAGAAAGAGAAGGAGAAAGAGGAAGAGGAGGAGGAGGGGAGGAGGAGGGGGGAGGAGGAAACAAACGTATAAACCACAGCTTGATGTACAGTTTAATTATAAAGATTTATTTTCCTTCTAAAACTGGTACTATTTTGTTCTGATGTTCTGATTACTGTATGAGATAAACATTCATAATAACAGTATTTTCTAGTCATTGCTTGAGAAATAAGAACAAACATGCATTCAGATATAAWGAGAAATTGAAATGGTAAAAATGCTTTGGTCAGATGATTCTTACATAAAAAAAGTTGTATGCTTTAAGATGATAAACAACTCAGAGTGCCTGAGAGCAAGGGCAACCACATTCCACCAATAGCTCTTACCTCCAAATGCTTCCCATAACTTAACCCTGCGGTCCATGCCTCCTGTGGCCAGTAACCGGGAACCTGGACTGAATTGTACAGCATTAACTTCTCCATCATGTGCATCCTACAACACCATATTTCAAGTTCCATCAGTATTATTCCCGAATCCAAAACACACATACACACTCAACACCTAACTCGAGGCAAAACACATCCTTAAACAGAGGGGGAGCCAACTATAAAGTGGACTGCTGGCCCAAGGTCTTCTAAGGTTCTAGTAGCATTTTATTCTTAAGAGTTACAGCTTCATTTATTTAGTTGCACTACAACCTTAAAAAGCAAAATTAGTAGATAATTTGCCTTAAGTTGGTCTTTGCATTAATCTTATTTCTTCTAAGAATAATGGCACTTTGAATTGTATATACCCTACTAGCTTAAAAAGCAAGCCTAGAACCAAATGGTTCTTTTGGGCCAGATATTACATCTACTCCTATTACTAATTTACTAATGCTAAACACTATGTATCTGAATAATGTGTAGTATACTGCCTCTCATAATAAATAAAGCTTTCTTTTTATTATTATTTTTTGGTAGTAAGGCTTGAACCCAGGACCCCATGCATGCTAGCCAAGTGTTCTACAACTGGTCTATGACTCTACCACCAAACCCTCAGCCAAATTTTATTTTGAGACAGGGTCTCACTATGTCACCAAGGCTGGCCTTGAACTTGTGATCATTCTGCCTCAGCCTCCTCAGCAGCTTGGATTATAGATCTGCATTACTGCACTTGGCTAAGAAAGCTTTCCTGATAAGTCCTACTCTAAGCAGACACTGGTCCTATTCCTAGATGTGCATTAATGTTACAATGGGGATTCTATTTAATAGTTATTATTATTATTATTTTGAGTGGGGACAAGACACTAAGGATTGAACTTTGAGGCACTCAATCACTGAGCCATATCCCCAGTCCTTTTTGGTATTTTATTTAGAGACAGAGTCTCACTAAGTTGCTTAGGGCCTCCCTAGGTTGCTGAGGTTGGTCTTGAACTTGTGATCCTCCTGCCTCATTCTCCTGAGCTGCTAGGATTATAGGCATGCACTACCAAGCCTGGCAGATTTCTATGTAATTTCTTCTGAAACAAATCTAGCCTTATCACCAGTATGATCTCTGCCAAGCTTTCTTAACTTTTTGAAACCTACTTTTGTTCATCTGCAAAAAAGTTCCTTTGGGAAATGTGAGACTGGCATAAACAGAGAAATATAAGCTCAAAAGATGGCACACATGGTTCAGGATAAGAACACAATCCAGGCAACAAAGCATCCCACCCCAAAAGGGGCAGAGGGAATAATAGGCATCACTATAATTTACTCTCTTAATAGGACAGTGAATACAGAAATTCTTCTGGGTGAAGTATGTCATTTTTGATTTGCTTCAAGCCCAGCAAAGTGTGGGCAGAGAGCTACTGCTACTGGCATCTCCATTAATTGACTCGGAATTGAGCAGCACTTTGATGATTTGGTTTCCCACTTTCCCTCATATCCCACTGCTGAAAATCTTCATGACAGGGAACTTGACATTTCCTTTTTCAAAATAAATTTTCTTTTCCTGAGGTCTCAGATTGAAAACTTGAGATCATGCACTGTCACACCCTGCCTGCCACTCATCAAGCTCCTGAGTAATGTGTTTTGTTGGATACTAGTCAGCTGTGAATATTTCACTCTCTAAAACACACACTGACAAAATCCCTGATTGTCAGCTGCTCCAYCATCCCATACACATGACTTAATGTGCTGGGGGGAAAAATGGGCTGCTGGGAGTTGAGGGCAAGGAAGGGACTGTGACATTCAGTGCAATCAGACCTTTTACCAATCATCATTGACCACTGTGAAGTGCTCAGGCCTGTTGGGAATCATAGGAGCGAGATCGGAATGGGAAGAAGCCCTTCCCCAATCTAACTCCTCCTCCAATACAGGCTAGTTGACAATGAAGTCACTAGGCAGCCCACTGTGAGGAATTACCTAAGGAAGTTCCTCTGGGTGCCTGAACTAAAAGCTCCCACAACCTAAATGCCATTCTATATTTCTAGCAAATCCTTCCCTCTTCTGAAAGCAACCTCTTTTGGCCATACCTGGCCCACACCAGTGTCAACCCAACTCTGGCTCTGCTTTCATGCTGCCCCTTCTTTCCCTCTCCAGTGCTCTCACGGGCCCAGCAGATACCTGACATTTGCCAGGTTGGTTCATTTACATTGGCTGGGATAAGGATTATCTATTAGTACCAGGACCGAGCTCTGAACTCCAGATGACAGTCCTGGTGTCACAGTGGCTTCTGCCCAGGGCTGTATCCTGCTTCCAATCATAAGCTCTTAGTGGTAGAAAGTCATACAAACAAGGGTTTAATTTATGAAACCAAGAGCTTCCCTTTTAGATTTCCAAAACAGACCACTAGCTAGAATCTCACTCTAAATTGCAGCTATCTGGTGACTACAATTACATGAATTACTTTGATTTCTCACCATCCCTAATTAGTTTTCCCTTACCCCATCCCTCCTGCTACCAAATCCTCTCTTACAGCCAGTGTAACATTACCCAGAAGGGCTGTAGTAAATTCTGTGCTCTAAAGCTAAGCAAAATATACTAATCCCTCACAGAGGACAGAGCAAGCAGGTATAAGAACTTGATAAAAGTGAATGACAGAAAGCTCAGTTGAACTATGAAAATAACCCTTTAGTGATCAGGCCCTGTTACCATACCAAGCTCGGTGGGGCGCATACTTACAAAGACATATAAGGCAGTAGTTGGTACCCTCACATCTTTACCAGAAGCAGGATGAGTATCCACATTATCCTGGGGGACTGGAAAGGAAGAGACAGAGCGTCTCCTAAAGAATAACACAAAGGTAAATATTAGACAAGACTGCAMAGGATCACTACTCTTCAAGCCGTCAGAAAGGCCTTAAAGATGATCTTGCTTAAGCAGGCTATCTTTGTCAATAGCTTTTTCCTTCCAGACCCTTCAAATCATAAGAAGCACCCTCATGCAGAGGGCAACAGGAGTGTGTCAACGCATTCCTCACTCTGCTGCATTCTAACTCATGGGCTCCCAAACAGCACTAAAAAGCTGCCCTGTAAGATCACTCACCTTGCTAATTGCTAGGAACTTTTTCCAACTAAATTAACAGCTAGCTCAGAGGTATCTCTTTGGTGTTTCTATAACACTATTTTAAGATGATTTCTATGCCTAGTTACAATCACCCCCAGCATACACTGTGGTCAAGGTGGAGTCGAATGCATGCCAAAAGAAAGAGGCCAAGAGCATGATGACTATACAAGGAGCTCCACTTTACTGCCCAGATTGGGGGGCTTCCAGCATTCATTCCTGGGAGCATGCAAAGCACTCTGGTTAGCACGTGGACATCTGATGACTGCGGGCAGTGCAGCGTGATCAGCGTGACTATCAATGACCCACACTCACATGCTTGGCTAAGAGGGTAATACTTTCACCTGGCAGCATCAGAAGAAGAATGGTGCCCCAAAAGGGGAGACTCGGACAGACTAAAGGGAAAGGCCAGAGATCAGCACAAAGCGAGATTAAGAGAAAGAAGTTGGGGAAAAAAGGAAGAAGCTACATGAGTGGCCAAAATTAAGGTATCTGTATTTGCTGCACCACTGAAATTCTGGTGTACAATTAAAAAATAATAAWTCATGTACATATGCTTAGGTATATTTACACACATTTAAAAAAGGAAAGGTGAAGGTCTTCTAACCTACCCAAAGATATTAGTGATAGAATCCAGAAGGCCTCCAGCAGGCTGCGAGAGTCGCTTACTAAAGAGGAGGGGAGGATAGGTTTAAACCTTAGAAACATTTYGCCCAAATTATCAATTAAAACAGCCCATAAAACAAGTACCTAGGAGTATTTTTCCCACTTAGTACCCAAAATTCAGCCAAGAAAAACTCACAGTATTTGAACCACCAGGAAATAATGGGAAAGTAGAAGGGAAAACCCAGCCTAGCAGTTTTAAAAGAAACAAGGTTCCCTAATATTGAACTAATTTGCCTGGAAACAAAACCTTAGACAAGGAATTTAATCTAACTGACCTAACAATTTCAGAGTGTTAATAACCAATCCCCACTCTTTTAGTCTTGCTTTAGCAAACAGGAAAAAAAATAAATAAATAAAAATCCTTGAGCCCCGAGATCTGGTCATTCTGCTTAATAAGGTTTAACTGGCAATCTTTTAGGAAGACACCCACCTGTGTTCTGCTTCCCTCCCATTCCCATTAGGTGGAGGTGAACCAGACAAACTGGGTGTTCTCCATGGTGGTATATAAGATGCTAGCTATTCCACCAAGAGGGTTGGAGGTGTGGGCATATTTATGTTCTCGCTATGCCCATAAATATGCTATCAAACTTCCACTTGTCCCCTGTTCACCCATCTACTCACGTGGCTGCTCTGCTGATAGCTCGCACAGGCGAGGTCTCCTCTGTGTGCTCTGAGGTCTCATCCACAATGACTTCAATGTCATCATCCCTGGAACGAAGAGCAAGAGGTTTATTCTGATAATCAGGGGCTTTGTAGAGAATCAGTTCTGCAAAGGCCATTACATTTCTAATCACAACCTATGACACTTGGCTATAAGAGATATATTTATTTATTTTTAGTTTTTTTTTTTTTTTTTTTTTAAGAGAGAGAGAGAGAGAGAGAATGAGAATTTTAATATTTATTTTTTAGTTTTCGGCAAACTCAGCATCTTTTTTTTTTTTTTTTAAAGAGAGAGTGAGAGAGGAGAGAAAGAGAGAGAGAGAATTTTTAATATTTTATTTTTTAATTCTCGGCAGACACAACATCTTTGTTGGTATGTGGTGCTGAGGATCGAACCCRGGCCGCACGAACGCCAGGCGAGCGCGCTACCGCTTGAGCCACATCCCCAGCCCTATAAGAGATATAGTAAAAGGGTCTCTAGAGAAAAGGGAAGCTCTCCCACTACAGATAAATGTGAAAAGAAACATTTGACCTGTTCAGATCCAGAACACTGGGGCTGGAAATGTAGCTTACTGGTAGAGTGCCTGCCTAGCACATGTGAGGCCCTGGGTTCAATCCCCAGCACCCAAACAAACAAAAACCCGTTAAAACAGATCCAAAATGCCAACTGAGAATAGTTTTCAAGAGCAAACTCTAATCACCATTCATATTTGACTCTGGATAACACAGGTTTTGTTTAAGTTCTCAGTGTTTCTGACATTTGGGGAATCCATCACATTCCAAGGGAGAGCACCTGTTAAAGGAACACGCTGTTTTTGCTGTTTATTCCACTGGATGCAAAGCACCTCTGGAATTCCCCTTCTTCCATATTTTTACAGGCTATGTCTTTCCTGACTGGGGGAAGGCAATAATTATTTTGGTTTTAATGACCTCCTACTGAGCCACAATCTTCATGGAGAAGTAAAATAATAAAGTGTAACAGGCCAAGATTTCATCACTTACTATTGGGACTCAAGAACTTGAAAGCAAGATTTTTCCTTTTCTTTGATTAATTATCTGGATTATATGAATATATACTTAAGAACTTGTTACCAAGCAAGTTAAACCATGTCAAAGTAAATTTGTCTTCTTTTATTTATTCTAGCATTATGTATAATTGCTCCACATTCTTGGCCAGGATGTAGAGAAGAATAATGAGAACAAGGCTGTGCCTGATTTCCTTCTTGGCTGGCTTTCACAGATGTAGATTTGTGAGAGTCACCTAGGCTAAGAGGACAACAGAATTATACAGAGGGCAAGAGGGCCAAACATGAACTGAGCCTACAATGATGCAGTTTCAAAGAGAATCTTGGGTTCCTAAATTTCCTGGATCTTTGCACAGGCCCAGGACCATGAGAAAATACTAGGACTTGCCAAGTAGCCTTTAAAAAGAGGGTTTGACTCTTAAGGAAGCAAAGATGAAAAGAACCTCTAGCCAAAGTTCTCAGGTTTGCACCCTATGCAGGCCCTTCCTGAGTGACCTGGGGTAGGATACTGTAGCCCTCTAAATCATGCCTCACCTAGTCACTAGGCTACACTTGAAAACAGCAGACAGATACATGATGAGGCCTCCCAGGCACAGAAAGCTGGATCCACACTCAGCTGAGGAGTGTAAACAGAAACAACTTTTTGGAAAAAAAGTCATATTTTCTAAAACAGTTTTGACTCTACCTCATTTTTAATTGAGGAATCAAAACCCACCAAAATAAAATTAAAATGGTCGAGTGGGTGTTACTTTCTGGGTGGCAGAATTATGTTTTGACTTTTTGACTTTTGTCCCCCGCCACCCCCCAACTGGGGATTGAACCCAGCAGTGCTTAACCATTGAGCCACATCCCTGGGCCTTTTATATTTTATTTTGAGGCAGGGTCTTGCTAAATTGCTGAGGCTGACTTTGAATTACAATCCTTGCAAGGGGTGGTAGCACACGCCTGTAATACCAATGGCTTGGGAGGCTGAGGCAGGGGGATCATGAATTCAAAGCCAGCTTCAAAAAAGGATTTGTGATCCTTCTCCCTCAGCCTCTCTAGCTGCTGGRATTACAGGTGTGTGCCACCATGCCAGGCTTCAGTTTTCTTTTCTAATATCTTTAAAGTGACTATATAGGAATAAAACAACAATTTTAAGAGACAAATGGTTAAGAACACAGTTTAGATTGGTCTTTACTTACTGTTCAACTGGCAGTGGTTCCTTTGCTGCTTCAGCAAGCTCTTTCTGCAGCCGGGCTTGCCGTCTCCTATTTATAAAAATAAAAAAAAGCTCATCATTTATTTTATTTTATTTTATTTTTTTTAAAGAGAGAGTGAGAGAGGAGAGAGTGAGAGAGGAGAGAGTGAGAGAGGAGAGAGAGAGAGATAATTTTTAATATTTATTTTTTAGTTCTCGGCGGACACAACATCTTTGTTGGTATGTGGTGCTGAGGATCGAACCCGGGCCGCACGCATGCCAGGCAAGCGCGCTACTGCTGAGCCACATCTCCAGCCCCCATCATTTATGTTTGTGTAAGGAAAACATGGAGGCTTCACTTGCAATAAACTGCTAGTTTTGATAGCACATTTAAACATTCAGTGCATCATACAAAACAGCAGCTACCCTGGCCAAGACACCCAAAGTCTCAAACTCAACATACTCCCCATTATAAAGGGTTTCAAAGGAATGCCTACAGGAGAGATCATGTTATAAGAGGAAGTAGGTGAACTAGCAAGGAAGGAGGTCACCTGCTGGGGCCAGGGCCTCTTAGGACAGAAGGCACTTCAGGTTTATTGAAGGCTGATCAGGGCCACAACAGCTTTTTGCAGCAGTCTTAGAAAGTACTATATTAAGCACCCACAGCATGATCAAGAATAGTAAAGATTGACTTAGGACTTACTTGTACTTGGCATGGTTTAATCATCTTATRGATCAATTAATTAAATTCTTCTAATACCCTTTGAGGTAAGTAGAGTTGTCCCCTAGTATCTGTGTGGGATTGGTTTTAGGACAACCCCCCCCCCCCACACACACACACAGATAAAACAATCCAGAGATGCTCAAGTCTCTTATGCCAAATGGTACAGTATGTGCAGAGAACTTAGGCACATCGTCCCATATACTATAAATCATCTCTAGATGATTTATAATACCTACTACAATATAAATGCTATGAAAATAATTGGTACACTCTATGGGTTAGGATAGAGACAGGAATAGAGGGTCTTTACATCCTCAGTACAAACCCACAATTTTTCCCTAAGCAGTCCACAGATGTTGAGCCTGTTGATTCTGAGGGCTAACTGCACTGTTACTTCCCCTGTACCTAGATAAGGCAAGTGAGGTCTAATGAAATTCAACTGTCAAAGTGTATATAACTTTTAACTGACAAAAGCTAACCATGGCTAACTGGGATCCACAGCTAACTGGGAATGTAAAATAGCCTCATCCACCCCTCCTTAACTTCAGTTAGTGTCCTAACTTCAGGAGCTCACCTTGGCAACCTTGTTCTCCCTTCCTTGGCAATTTTACTCATCTGTGAATACCCCCAACCTGGAACTCCAGCCCTGCTTTTGAGCTCCAATCAATAACTCACTAGAACTTCTATTCGGCCTCTCCCACAGTACCAATTTCTCCAACYGGGAAAAGTCCTGTTAAGTGGCCTACCAAAAAATCCTGGGACAAGATGAAGGTATAGCTTGAAAAAGCTTCTTCCATTAGGATGAAAATTAAGTCTCAAAGGAAAAATTATAAAATATACAATTTACAAAAACTTTCTTAGTTGGGAGAGCCACAAACTACCTTTGATAGAAAACCAGAACCTGAATGTGGAGGGAGTTATGCTGCTCCAAGTTATGGCACTTGTTGATAGACCATCTGAAACCTACTCCTTTCTCTACCTTCATGTCCCCATTCTGGCAAGGGGTGAAAAACTGATAAGGAAAAAAAGAGAATAGCACCTGAGCCAGGCCTTCATCAGTGGAGCTGATAGGACAGGTATTTYCCTGATAGTTCAGATAGCCCTCGGGTGCATCTTAAAGCATTAGCAGCTATTGAGCCCAATTGTGGGGACATGGTCTTTTGCAGGAGGCAGAACATGAAAAGTTCTCCGGTGTGCTCCATCACAGCCCAGCTCAACAAAAGCTGCTAGAAGTAGGGACAAGGACAGAGGGATTTAGCAGAAAGCAGGCAACACAGAGGGTAGGCTTCCAGGGATTCTGACTATTGCAGGTGCCCCACACCTTCAATAGTCTAAGGACACAATCCTTGGAAGTCATTTCAAAGGGAGGAAGAAAGGACAGGGGCAGATATATAACGGTCTTGTTAGGTTAGCATCATTTTCCCTGTGACGCTCAGAGGCTTCTCCTTCCAATGGCTCTTCAGTGATGATGATCATGGCACCTGGAAGCATCCTGTCAACCCTGCGACCCTCACAACCCTCACACCGCCTGAGAACACCATGCCATAAGCCCAACTATCTTACAGTTAATGTGAGGTAGAAATGATAGAAGAAACTCATTTTTTCACAGTAGAAACTTCAGCAAGTTAGAAAAAATAGAAGTATAAAATGAGAAAACAAAACATCTTACCCCCAAAACCAAACATCATTAATAGTATAATTCCCTCCAGTCTTTCATACAAAACTGGGGTGTTATGAATATAGTTCGTTTCACTCAACATATTTCATATTTCCAGTTATATCACTGTATTTTAGGTATCAAGTATTCTTTGTTGGTGGACCTTTATTTTATTCATTTATTTATAAGCAGTGTTGAGAATTGAACCCAGTGCCTCATACATGCTAGGTAAGTGCTCTACCACTGAGCCACAACCCCAGCCTCAGTATCAAGAATTCTTTTTTTTTTTTTTTTTTTTTTGAGAGAGAGAGAGAGAGAGAGAGAATTTTTTAATATTTATTTTTTAGTTTTCGGTGGACACATCTTTGTTTTTATGTGGTGCTGAGGATCGAACCTGGGCCGCACGCATGCCAGGCAAGCGCGCCACCGCTTGAGCCACATCCCCAGCCCCAGTATCAAGTATTCTTAAAATACATCATCTTAGTTGTGGCTCAGCGGCAGAGCACCACCTAGCTTGTGCGAGGCCCTGGGTTTGATCCTCAGCACCATATTAAAAATAAATAAATAAATAAAGGTATTGTGTCCCACTACAATTAAAAAATAAAATATTTTAAAAAATACATAATCTTAAATGGCTTTATAAAATTCCATTGCATGAACATATCACAGTTTAATTGTTCACCAAGGTATGCACTATCTTTTTTTACTACTGACGAAAAAAAAGGCCATCATGAATGTTTGTCAAAAAGTCCCCTTACTTCCTTAGGACAAAGTCCAACAAGAGGGGGCTCTCAAGTCCAGAATGGTAGGATCCTCCTTATTCCAAACAGCCCTCAAGCAGTCAGCAGCCCCACACTATCAGTACTCCTGCCCCCTAGCACCCGTTTCTGTGGTATTTACTGACCACAACCAAGTCTGCTCTTATGAACCACCTATGCTTTGTGCTCATCTTTCCTTATTGACTCCATTATGGATATTTAAGAGAGCATTTCCTGGTTCACTGTTTTAGTGTCAGTGATGTTGAGAAACCTAAAAAATTTTGAACTGCCACCCTTTAATATCATTCATTACTTTTATGTTTGGAAAGTCCTCCAAGACTCCTTTTTAGGAACTCTTCATAAAATAAACAGACAGTCCCTCAAATTTTCTAACTTGACCAAGGCTTTGATTTTACACTGCCTTTCCCATCTAAGTGGATTTATTATGTGGTAGGGCATAAGCTCAGTTACTCCTTAGGATTCTTCCTATAATCTGTCTTCTAAATGAAATACTGAACTACTGGTATGGGGATTTTAGAAAAGGGTTCAATTCTGCTGGGCTTCTGTGAATAGTGCATCAGCTAGTTTTCTTTGCTTTTCTAGGTGAATCATACCCTTCTCCCAGCTTTCCCATGTTGTATCATGGGTTTGGTGCCAAAAGCTTTTCAATTGGTTGGTCAGAACACATCTGGATAAAATTGCTCTAAGAGCCATATTGCTCGTTTGAATGGGAGCATATGTAAGGCAGTGGACATTGAGCATGGATGTCATAGATTGGGGATAGGGGTCAGGTTTCTAAATAGCTTCATTTCTACCACACAGATGCAAACTCCTAGTGTACAGGATGGGAGTGCTTCCTGGCTGTTGGTCAGAAGGCCTCTGCCCTGCCCTTCTGGGAGGTATTCCATGGCTCAATATTAAGTATCCTTATAAACGCAAATTTCTTTTATTTTCACTATCACTATTGGTGATTCTGTTAGTGTTTTCTGTTCTGCACAGGCAAGGTACACTCTCACCCCCCACCTGTATGTTGTTTTCTTTTTAAAGAACTAGCTTCTGCTTTGCTGAAAATGGAGACCACTGACTATGCCCACCTGGAGTCCTTTTCGTTCTCTGCATTGAGGCGGTTGGCTTCCTGGGCTTTCTCGGCCATCCATCTGGTGACCAGCTCCTGGTTTTCTTCAGTAGTTTTTCTCAGTTTCTCCTCCAACGCAGTAAAAGTGATCTGCAGGGCATCGTATTCGTCCTTCAGGGTCTGGTTGGCTACCTCAAGGTCTTGAAGCTTGCTGCGTAGGTCCAAGCACTCTGTCTCCAAGTCAGAGATAGTCTGCAAACATTCTGCAATTCTGAAAGCATGCCATCAGAAGAGGAAGTGTCCTTGGCCAGAGTCCTGCATTACAGCCAGAGGACGGGGGCAAGCCAACTATGTGAACTTAGCCCAGTAGCATAACATGAGCCACACACCAGACCTGGACCAACGGTGTGCAGGACAATCCTATTAGGAAACACCCAGTGCAAGGTTCCTCCTGCCCACAAATGACTAGTAACAAGAGTTTTGAGAAAAACAGGATTTGAAGGAAGGGAAACTTTAGGTGCCCGCATGGTATTTTTGTGAGGCTCTGCAGCTCTATGGTGCTAAGACTCCAAATCCCCGTTTTCTTGTTCCTGATCAAAAATGATCCTGCTCACTTACACACCACCCATGAGTCCCAAGCTCTCGGTATAGCCTCAGCTCCACCACAGGAAGACACCAACATCCACACAAGGCCACCATGAGAGAACTACAAATGCTCTGGAACCCTTGCAAGGGCCAGTTATTTCCCTAGAGAATGTTGGGACCCTAGGGGCCTAAGGGCATTGAGCTTGCCTTTCCTTGGCACAGAAAAAGGGCCCAGATTGCATTGACTGGAATAAGACACTTGCTGGCTGCAGCGTGGCTACCACTGGTTACAGGCCCATTCAAAGGGTACAGCAAAACACAACATGTGAACCAATCACCAAACCCTGAGGAGGAAAAGTTTCTACTCACTTTGCTTCATTCATCTGCATCTCCCTGTCCTTCTGCTGCATTTGGTTGTTCAGGTCAATCACCAACTGAGCTAACTGGGAGACAGAGAACACTCTCCTAAGTCACTCGAAAAAAGAACCTCACTTGAAAACCAATAGTGGGTGACTGTCCACTTAATTTTTAATAAAGAAAGGTGTGTGTTTGAGGGTTGGGCAAAGGTATCAAGAAAGGTAGTGAATGGCAGAGGAGGCATGCGTAATGTGCCTAGGAACTGTCTGCTGTTCCCTTGCAAAGGGAGATGTGGATGAACTGGAAGTGTTCTAGGTGACTACCAGGTTCTTGCTGAGAATACCTGTCTACCTCCAGATCTCACATCAACTTGGCTGAACTGCTAGTTAACTGTCTTCTCTCATTTGGAGCTTTGCATTGATGACCATCCAGGGTAAACACAACCAGGACTCCTTCTAATAACTGAAATTTTGGAGTTCACACTCAAAAAGTTTCATAAGTATTAGAAAGATCTTTAGCGAATCAAACTCTAAGCCCCTTTTTGTTCTCAAAAGCTTCCTCACTTGTGTCTCTCACACCATTGTTGAAGCATGGTAACTGGGTGGTTTGACCATGGCTCACCTCTCCACGAAGGACCTTGCATTTCCTCGTGTTTCCCCACTGTTTCAATCCCACAAAGAGAGCTTTTAATGCCTAATTTAGTTAGACTGCTGCTAATTCCCAGGGAAGTGGCTGATCTCCCATCTCCCCTACAGAACCCTTGAAAGAGAAGACAGAATGGGAAAGGAGTTGTCTTTACCTCCCCACGTTTCTTGTGCAATTCAGTCAGTTCTTCCTGGTGTTTAATCCTCAGCTGAGCCATTTCTTGTAGTTGACTGTCATTCCATGTGCCATCATGTCCAGGACTAATCACCACCAGCCAAATCAAGAAAAAATGCAAAAAGGGTGGGGGGAATCAAACTTCAAACCTCTCCAATTAGACAATGGAACAATAACCCCAGAATTTCAAACATGTACATATCAGCCTAGCTAAGAAACCATTTAGTGTTCCCAGTAATACGTGGAAAAGTAGAAGTTGTGAGACACATGGTATAGCAAACCAAACACCCCATGCCACAACCAGTCAGGGCAGGAATAAATGGCTTGGTTCCTGAACAAAGCGCAGGTAAATACAAAGCAGCCAACCAGCCCACTCACTGCTAAGTGCCTGAGTGGCAATCATGTATCAGGTACTGCTAGTGCCAGGAAGACAGGGACTATGGAGCTCTGCTCATGCAGCCGACAACCAATCAAGCAGATGGACAATAAAGTAAAGCCATGAGGAACAAGCCAGGTGGACTCAAGAGAAGGACCCTCTGAGGATGGAGCAAGCCTGAGAGGAAGCACAGGGTGTGTGTGTGTGTGGGGGTGATAGCTCAGATGCCGAGGGACAGAGGAGCTAAGGGAGAGGTGCAGAGATCATGCCAAACTTCCTTAGCCCCCTGAGGACGGTGGTGTTCAAAGACCACTGGATGGATTTGAGCAGATTGCAAAAAGGCAGGGGCAGAAACAGGGAGACCCATTAGCAGGCTCTGAGGCTCACACTATGGTGGCAGCAGGGAGGTGGAGAGATGTGTCAAATTCATTTTGAAGAGACCTGCCTTGGAACTGGAAGTAGGGTCTGAAAGACAGGGGTCAAGTATGATCAAGACCTTTGATCTGAGCAATTGTTAAAGGGCAGGTGCCTGTCTACTGAAATGGCAAGACGGTGGGTGCGGCAGGTCTGGGGAAGGCCTAAAAAGATCAACTGTGGACATCCATGTGCATGTCAAGTGGAAGGGTTCCAGAAGCTGAACCTCTGGAGAGCTCCAAGCTAAAGGCTTACACGTGCATGTTCCTGAAGCCTCAGAAAATGAGTTTAGATCAGAAGTGAATTCACCAGGTGTGATGGTACACGCCTGTAATCCCAACGGCTCAGGAGGCAGAGGCTGGAGGATCAAAGCCAAGCCTCAGCAAAAGTGAGGCACTAAGYAACTCAGTGAGACCCTGTCTCTAAATAAAATACGAAATATGGGTGGGGATGTAGCTCAGTGGTCAAGTGCCCCTGAGTTCAATCCCTGGTATCACTCCCCGAAAAAAGAGTGAATTCAGTTTTGAAAACTTTGCAGGCTGGTGATGTATAGCTCAGTTGGTAGAGTGCTTGCCTTGCATGCACAAGGCCCTGGGTTCAATCCCCAGCAACCCCCCCAATACACAAATTGCAAATCATTTGTATTATATCAAAAATAGCAGTACACTCTGATCAAAGAAAAATTCTAAGATGTCCTACCTTCCAAAGGTCAAAGGGTAAAGAGATAAGGGAACTAATCAGTTAACTACAGTTAGCTGCAAACAAAACACCAGAAGCCTTATTTTATTGTTAAAGTAAACTAGAAAATCCTTGGTCAAGAGTTTGGCTTTCTTATAGCAGCTTTCATTTTATAAATCTTTTCTCTAGAATGCCAGCTCCTGGGGAGAGGCCTTGAAAAACTGACTTAAAATCTCATCACAGCAAACCCTCAGGGCCACCATCCCCTGTTTACAAATACAATTTCTGGACTGTGAACCCCAACCTGTCCAAAAGCAACGAGTTCTCCTTATGGGCTACCTTCCTATCCCAAAGCTCTCTAAGGGATGCATACATGCAGGGTGCAGGGCTTTTACCCTCCTCAAAACTGAAGTCTTTTTATTTCAGGAATTCCCTAGCCTCAAGAGTTTTGGTTTAACAAAACACTAGAATTTTGAAATTAAGCTCAGGAGGAGGGTCTGGGCTGAAACTACAGAGGAGCATTACCAGACCATACTGAGTAAGCAGGTAAATCTAATGCTCAACGAAAGCTCATAGAAGGCCGGCCAAGATACCCATTCTGAAGGGAGAGGGGAAAGCAGCCCATTACATATGACCTGTAACATAATAAAAAGGAGGGAAGGAGGGGTTGGGGCTCAGAGGCAGTGCACTTGCCTGGCATGTGTGAGGCAGTGGGTTCAACTCTCAGCACCACATATAAATAAATAAAATAAAGGTCTATCAACAATAAAAAATAAAAGTAAAAATAATAAAAAAAAAAGAGGGATGGAGGCAGTATAATAATAATCCTCCTAACTTCACCCTCCAACTCCACATGAATACCTGCTGCATATCTAAGCAAGATGACTCACCTTTGAGGTGACCTGGCACTTTACTACATTAGCCCATGAAGTACCATGAGATTAGACACTGGAACGTGCCTTACATGAAACCATCTAAAATTAGGAAGACCAATTAGAAGGTATTGTACTACATCCTTTCATTTAAATGCAAAGCAATATAGACTATGTGAAGCAAAACATGTGGCCCCTCCTCTCCAGGAACTGGCATTCTAGAAAAAAAGATTTGCAAAATGAAAAATAAAAAAATTAAAAAAACAACTGGGGTAAAATTGGGAGTTCATAACCCACTTCAATCTAATGTATGAAATATGATATGTCAAGAGCTTTGTAATGTTGTGAACAACCAATAAAAAAAAAAATTTAAAAAACAAGTTTTTGGTCAAAGACTTCCTATTTTACTCAAAAAAAAAAAAAAAGCTCAAAGGTGCTGGGAATCTGCTCATTCACAGGGCCTCAGAGTGGCTAGGAAAGCAGTGGCACTCAGACTTTAAAGGTTATCAGAATCACCTACAGGTTTTTTTTTTTTTTTTTTTAACCAATTTTGGTCCCATCATCCCAGATGTGGAACACCTGTAAAACTTAAATACAACATGCAACATGTAATCATATAATTTAAAAATAACAATGTAAGGGCTGGGGATATAGCTCAGTTGGTAGAGTGCTTGCCTCACATGCACAAGGCCCTGGGTTCAATCCTCAGCACACACACCCCCCCAAAAGTAATTATAACACCATTGACATGAATATAATACTATGTGTGAAGTCTAGATTATGATTTTCAACCTATTTTAATGCTCCCGTGACAGTTTTCTTGAAATATTCAGAGTTAAAAACTTGGGACATAAAGAGACTACTGGACCCATCACTAAAATTTCTGTATGTCTTGGGGGTGGGGCAAAGAATCTATTTCTAGCCAGGCACCGCAGCATCCGCCTGTAATCTCAGCAACTCTGGAGGCTGAGGCAGGAGGAAGATCGCAAGTTTGAGGACAGTCTCAGCAAGTTAGCAAGATCCTGTCTCAAAAACTAAAAGGGGCTAGGGATGTAGCTCAGAGGTAAAGCACCCCTGGGTTCAATCCCCAGTGCCCAAGAAAACAAAGGACCCCCCCCCCCACCTTCTTAACAACTTCCCAGATGATGATACTCATTCGGGACCATACTTAGAAAACTACTCTCAGGCTGAAGAGTCAGAATTTTGCCTCTAGGCAAAGTGATGAAAACACAAGGAAAATTTAATAACTGATGTACAGGTATAGAAATTCCTGGTTAATTACAATGAAATGAGCAGGACCCAAGGAGAGATAGAGGAGGCATAGGGAAGGAAATCAACCAGGCACTTATCTTCTCTGAATATCTTTAACACACCCATAGCAAACACCCCTTTGTGCCCGGTTCATACTGCAGTCACAAAAGCCTGAAGTGAGCAGACTCTTCAAAGTCCAGGTATGAGAGAAAGGGGCTAATGGCAAAATAAATGTAAACTAAGAGACAGATTGAGAGACTGTGGGGCTAAGAACCTGGGGCACTAAGTGGATACATGGAGGGGAAAGATATTGAGGGAGAAAGGAACCATAGATGACTCATGGGAAACAAGGACACATTAATAGAAACAAGATAATCAGGAGAATAAGACAAATTACAGATAATGTTTGTGGGAAAAGACTTTCAATAAATTGACTATCCCAGTGAAATTTAGCCAAAAGAATTGTCAGATATTTATTTACATCGTAACTAATATCTTAAGTACTATGAAAGAAACCCCAGGAGCGAAAGTAACAGGATCTCCTGAACTGTTATTAAGCAAAAAACGGAACCCAGACGGGGGAAACTATCTATGCTTTGGGATCTTTCCCACTCTCGCCTCCCAGGAGACCATCTTGCCAGATTAGGAGACACAGATGGCAGGCAACTACTCAGAAGATTCCCAATGAGGCCATACCCACAATTGCCAAGTGTTAATCGATGTGCAAAAAGAATAAAGCAATAGATAAATATAATGGGCACTGTTTCCAGACCAACAAATGTGCAAACATCATGGAAAGAGGCCAGTAAGACTCTTGAATAAGCCCATTTAAGCTGCTTTGATGAAGCATGACTTTGATTTTATAAACATGACCCTAAGTAATGTATACATACAGTAATACATACATGAGTAAATATTTCAAACACCCTATAAACATGTGTATGTAACACAGCAGGGCAAACACTTTCATACAGTAATACATACATGAGTAAATATTTCAAACACCCTATAAACGTGTATGTAACACAGCAGGGCAAACACTTTCTCTTAAAATACAATGAAGAAACAAAAGCTTGTTGCAACCTGCTAATTTGATTTCACAAGCTAAGGTTGAAAACATTAAATAAGAATCAAACAGACCTTACTGTATAAAAGGCAATTTGTGCTTATTTGCCAGTCAATTCTGTTTTAACAAAAGTTCTGTAAATCTATTCAGGAATATTTACTTGTCTCTAAGTATTCCTGGGTTAGGAGATAACCTGACCTAGGGTTACCACGTGAACTGCTTGAGAAATTTCTCAAGCTGAGAGCATTGTTCTGGTAAGTCTTCTAGGTATGTACAGATCTTTTAAACAATGCTTTTAGTTATTTGGTTTTAGCAGTTCTTATTTGAAAGGAGATGACAAAAACTGGAATGGAGCATAGAAGAAAACAGTACTTGGTTTGCTTTTAGAAAAGTGACAACTGAACTGAGACAAATGCTAAAGACAATGACATAAATAATAAAGATTAGTTTCAAAATACCTTATTTCATGCCTGTTTGGTATATCATGCTTTTCAGCTTGTAGTTTCTGGGCCAACACTGAATGAAGATCCGACTTTTCCAGCAACTTGTTATCTATATACACAAGAAATAGTTCAGAAATTAAGTTATTATACTGTATTTATACTTTACATCTTACAAAACTTGGGACCAAAAAAAAAAGAAAAGACAGGCCTGCTTTGGCATCATTATTAGGTATCAAAGTGTGAGGTCCTCATTATTGCATACTGTAACAATCGTATAAAATCTAGGAACATACATTCCTAGATACTTCTTGACCTAACTTGGGCAGCCCAGCTACAGTAATACCTGAAGGAATGTCACCCCTCTGAGGGAGTCAAAATGTTCTTCTACTTCCAAAATTAACTGTTTTTACCTTGGGAATTAAAACACCAATGGCAAAGTGAAATGCTATGTACCAGTTGGGCTTAGTGATGCACACCTGTGACTCCAGCAACTTGAGAGGATTGTGAGTTCAAAGCCAGCGTCAGCAACTTAACGAGGCACTGACTCAAACAAAATAAAAAATAAAAAAGGACTGAGGATGTGGCTCAGTGGTTTAAGTGCTCTGGGTTCAATCCTAGGTACAAAAACAAAACAAAACGCTATGCACCTTTAAGTAATACAGAAGCACTTGAATTTGGCAAATTCAAACAGGAAGGAAATTCAGGAAGGAAAGCAATTCCACCCTTGGAGATCACCAAGACACAAGGTATTCAAAAGGGCTTCTTTCCAAAGGTTCCCTTTACTACAAACAAGGCCAGAAATCAGGGAAGCCTCCCCACAAAGCTTCTTCATCTTTCTCTTCAAGTTCTGGCAAGGATTAAACAGGGAACTCCAGGCTGATGGAAGGTGAAAACTTAACTGGCTTGGGAAGGCTGGGATTTGAGGAATACTGGTTTTGTACAATCCATCTGGAACTGTTCTCCCCAAATGTCAACCCTCCAGCTTAAACAGAATGTCTGAATAGTCAAAGTGTCTCACTCTCRTGCCTCCTCCTAATTTCTCATCCCCATCTCTTCTCTAAGCCCTGCAAGCAGGCACTACCCATTAGTTTAGTGGCGCACACCTGTAATCCCAGCTGCTCAGGATGCTCTCAGGAGGATAGCGAGTTCAAAGCCAGCCTCAGCAAAAGTGAGGTGCTAAGCAACTCAGTGAGACCCTGTCTCTTAAGAAAATACAAAACAGGGCTGGGGATGTGGCTCAAGAAGTAGCACACTCGCCTGGCAATGTGCGGGGCTCTGGGTTCGATCCTCAACACAACATAAAGATATCGTGTCCACCTAAAACTAAAAACTAAATATTAAAAAAACAAAATACAAAATAGGGCTGGGATGTGGCTCAGGGTTGAGTGCCCCTGAATTCAATCCCCAGTGCCAAAAAAAAAAAAAAAGCACTCTTTCCATCTCCAATCTCTTGTTCTGACTGCTCTACATCCCCCTGACTTGTCATGAATTTAAAAAATTTTTTAATTCTTCTTTTTTAAGCTGTTGATGGACCTTTTATTTATTTAATATGAGGTGCTAAGAATTGAACTCGRTGCCTCATGCATGCTAGGCGAGCACTCCACAACTGAGCCAAAACTCCAGCCCACCATATCCATTTTTGAAGTGCAGAAAAACATTCAATTGATGTCTATGGGGTTATGAGCACCTTACATTTATAAATTATTATAAAGATGGCTTTCAAAGCACTTAAACACAGCACTGCTTTTATGAAGTGTAAGGCAAGCTTCATCCCCACTTTATAGCTACAGCAAATCAGATTCAGAAAAGTTAATTGAAAAAGTAAAGGGACAAGTGGGGACTCTGACCCAACTAAATGTATTACCTTTTAAAGAATGAGCACTCAGCCAAGACCTAAGAACTGAAGTTACATAACCTATGAGAGAATCACACTGAATAAGAGGAGCTTCTTCCTATGCTTCTGAAATAGTTCTGGTCTCCCAGGTTCTCTAAGAGTATAAAGAATTGACCATGACAGTTGCACAGCATTTCCTTTTCCTAAAGGGCTCCCCTTTTTAAAGAGGACAGAAGCAGTGAAGGCAATAAAGGGTCATTTCTTGGGAGTTCCAGCAAGAAAAACAAATGCAAAAGATAAGGATTATGAGCCTAAATGTGAACCCATCCCCACCATTAATCTGCTGTGCAACCCCAAATAATTGTTTTACTATTGGCCTTAATTTTCTCAGATATAAAAAATGGCAACAGTAAAACTTGCTCCACCAAATTTCAAAGATGCCAATTATTCACCACAGTACTCAAACTTGTCTGCATACCAGAATAATTTGGGAAGCATCCTAAAATGCCAATACCAGCTGGGTGTAGCGGCCTGTAATCCCAGCAATTGGTGAGGCTAARGTAGGAGAATTGCAAATTCAAGAACACAGCCTGGGCAACTTAGTAAGAAGACCCAATCTCAAAATACATATTCTAGCATAGCAATAGGGCACTTGCCTAGCATAGGTGAAGCACTGAGTTCAGTCCTCAATACCACCAAAAAACCTCCAGATACACTGTGTTCTTTCTACTTCCATTTACTCTGGTTTAGTTGATCTGGGGGTGTGGCTTGGGCTCTGCACTATTTTTTTTTTTGTAGTTGTAGATGGGCAGCATGCCTTTGTTTATTTTTATGAGGTGCTAGGGATAGAACCCAGTGCCTCAGGACTCGCTCTGCCATGGAGCTATAGCCCCAGCCCCTCTGATTTGCTGTATCTATCAAATGGGGATGCTTTTTAAAAATCCCCAGGTGATTCTAATGCAGCTGCATTTGAACACCATTGACTTAACACAATCAGAATTCAATAACAGGCAACTATTTGTACTTTGAATCCTCTCATCAATCCTCAGGCAAGAGGAGTAGCGGCTGCTTCCCCCAAATGTGCAAGTAAGTTGTAACTTGGGGAGGTGGGCAAGGATCTATTCGTTAGGACGTATCTGAGAGCGAGAAACACTTCTGTACCCTTAAAAGGCAAGAGGTGGTGGTGAAGAAATCCACTTTCCCGCTGGTGGTTTTGCATCAACAGCAGAGGGTACCTTCCTCCCTACTAAGGAAAGAACACCGAGTTGGAATAAGGGCAAAGGACCCTCAGAAGCCAATGGCCACACGCTCTAGGACACTAGGCAACGATGCTGACCCCTCACGATGGCGCCTGATGTCAACCAATGCCTGCCTCATMAGCGAGATGGCCCGACGCGATGCTTCTGGAGCCCACCTGCAGAAGTGCGCCAGGAAGGCGTGCAGACTCAAGGCACCTGCCTACAGTGCACACAAGACTCGGTAGGGGACCCTCCACAACGACCCCCAAGGGTGAAACGAAGGAAGAAAAAGGCTTCAGGGAGATTGGCAGCGTCCGAGGCGCGAGGCTCCCGGGGTGGCAGCCATGCGCGCGGGTGGCTTGGGGCTCGGCCTTGGGTTCTCGCGGGCCCCCGGCGGATTCGCCCGCCCGCCCCTCTCTCGGCCTGCGCCGGCACTGCTCACATTGCAGGATGATCTCCTCGAACGACTGCCTCTGCAGCCGGTCCCGGCGCCTCAGCTCCTCCGCAATGTGGCGCTTCCAGAGGGGGAAGTCGGCAGCGCGGAGGCCCGAAGACATGTCGCACGCTGCCCCGGCGCTTCAGCGCCGCCGATCCCAGCGGAGGCAGGCGGCCGCAGCCCGCAGCATAAGGCGACCAGAGAGCGCCGGAAGGCTAGCAGCCCCAGAGATCAGCTCCACGCACAGGCCGCCCCGAGGCCATCTGGGACGGTCTTCCGGTTCCCGCCGGAAATGGTTTAGTGGGGCCGGAAGACCCGCCTCCTCCTCTGCGTCGCACGCTACACGCAGGCCAACGGCCCGGGCCGTCTGGGCGCTAGCTAGTGACGCCAGCCTGAAACCGGAAGCGTCGRGGCTTAGAGATGGTCGCTGGGAGGCGTCCTGGCCACGCTGGAGACTCAGCTCTGGCGGGAAGAAGGCCGAAGGGGTCGTTTCTGCCCGCTGGTTGTTTCCTTTATGACTTTTACGTGTTTAGTATATTCCTACTTGGTCTGCCCCCCTTTTTTTTTATTTTCTCAGCTTACAAACAGAAGTAGGGGCCGTTCCCCATGAAGGATCTTAGTAGTTATACATGAATAACAACCTCCCTAAACCTCGTTTTCCCATCTGTTGAACAGGGACAGTAATGATACGATCTCATAGAGTTTTAGTGCACATTACAAGGGAAAATCTAAAAAAAACAAAAGGGAAAACCTATCTCATTCAATTAGCGCTGTGCCTGGTACAAGGCAAGCCTACCTTTACTTTTTTTTTTGCGGGGGGGGGGGGGGGGGGGGGGGGGGGGGGGGGGGGGGGGGGGGGGGGGGGGGGGGGGGGGGGGGGGAGTACTGGGGATTGAACTCAGGGGCGTTCGACCACTGAGCCACATCCCCAGCCCTATTTTGTATTTTATTTAGAGACAGGGTCTCACTGAGTTGCTTAGCGCCTCGCAGTTGCTGAGGCTGGCTTTGAACTCACGATTCTCCTGCCTCTGCCTCCCATGCCGCTGGGATTACAGGCGGGCCCACCGCACCTGGCTAGATCAACCTTAGACATCAGGTTCATTCTGAGRACTATCCTTAGAAGCTTTGGCTGCATTACAGGGCATCCCACTGATCTTAAAAACAGGCTTTATTTTGCAGTAGAGAAGTGGAATGCAAACAGGAACCGAAAAAGGGTTTGAACAGTGTATCAGAGTTTGTGTTAATCATTAAAATCCTAGAATGAGAACCTCATAGTAAATGAGTCCTTTGAAGGTAATCTAATAATGCATGTATTTGTTGAAAGAGGGAGATGGAAAATGCACAGGCTTTTGAGAAGATGACATTGGTCAGCAAACTCAGTAAATGAAAATTGAGTCTATGATGTGATTGCCTGAACTTCCATCTGCCTTTCAATAGGTTAGTAAATTTAGTGCATGAAATTGGAATTGGACAAAGTAGGAGGCCAGAGGAGAGAAAAGGAATGTCAGAAACTGTCTTCCAGTGTGGCTCCAATCTTTAGGAAGATCCTTTACAGATAAGAAAAYCTCCCCTCTCCCATGTAGCAGATGAGGAAGACTGTCTTGAGCTATATCATTAAAGACATTTCATCAGCAGTCACTGTGGCATGATCTGAAGTCATTGGAAGGACCCCTGGAAATCAGAAAAAGAAATGACTTTCTCTTACCCTGCAGAAAATGAAGAAGCAAGTTTTGGAAGTCACTATGAATGCCCCCAAACGAAACAGTGGCACCAGTCTCAAAAGAGCATAGTGTCACATAGCATAAGATTTTAACAGTGAAGTCAGGCACAGTGGCACTCACCTGTACTCCCAGTGGCTCGGGAGGCTGAGGCAGGAGGATTGCAAGTTCAAAGCCAGACTCAGCAACTTAGTGAAGCTCTACTCAACTTAGTGAGACCCTGTTTCAAAAAATAAACAAATAAATAAGGGCTGGGGATGTGGATCAATGGTTAAGAGCCTCTGGATTCAATCCCTGGTACCAAAAAAAAAAAAAAAAAAAAAAATTGACAGTGAAGCATGTCACTTTTCCTGACATGATTATGCTTAAAATATTTATAAATTTGCCAGGCACTATAATCCAAGCAGCTTGGAAGGATCTCAAGTTCAAGGCAAGCTTCAGCATTTAGTGAGGCTCTAGGCAACTTAGAACCTGTCTCAAAATTTTAAAAAGGGCCTAGGATGTGGCTTAGTGGTAAAGTGCCTCTAGCTTAAGTCCTCAGTAACAACAACAACAACAACAAAATTAACAAATTTGCTCAAATAGCAATTTCCTTGGAAGTTATGCCAAGAAATATTTGGATACATGTCCATATACAAAAATGTTCATTATGGGGCTGGGAATGGGACTCAGTGGTAGAGCACTTGCTTAGCCCTGAGTTCCATCAACACCACCAAAAAAAAAAAAAAAAAAAGGTCATTACAGCATTCTTATTAATAGTGGATATTGAGAGATTGCTGTGTGTTGTCAGAAATTGTTCATAGTAAAAGCAATATATACAGCAATATATAATATAAATTTGATTTGTGAAAATGTTCATAGCTCTTCATAAACAATAAATATTTGTTAACTAAATGGATAATTTTTAAAGTGGGATATTAAGTCTGCTAGATCTGCTCTCTTCTGCTCTATCTAGCACCCAGCTGCTGCACGCTGAGCCCTCTTCCTTCCTTCTACTTGCGTGCTGCCTCTCCCTGCCTGGCCTTTGGATTTACAGTGTGCGTTGAGCACACACTTCCTTTCTGTGTTCTCTAAATTAATTCCTATGACTGAGTTCCCACCTCAGTAGTTACTTTCTCACAGCCTGCAGATAACAGACCTTCTCAACCAGGTTAGCTTACATTTACACCTCTTCTTCTCCTTTCTTCTTTTGCTACTTCAGGGATTGAACCCAGAGCCTTGGGCATGCTAGGCAAGCACTCGACTCCCAAGCTACATACCCAGCCCTTTTTATTTTGAGATAGGATCTCAATAAGTTGCCCACATTGGCCTTGAATCTGAGATCCTCCTCCCTCAGCCTCCCAAATAGCTGGGATTATAAGCATATGCCACCACACCTCCTTACCCCTCTTTATAGCATTTATCATATTTGCAGTTTCACATTTATTGTATCATGTGATACTTGATTAAGGTTTGTCTCATATCACTAGACTGTAAACTCCATGAGACAAAAACTGTTTGTATTTTTGCTCACCATTATTTCTCCTGCAAAGGCATGACACTTTTAAAGTATCATGTGCTCAGTAAATATTGTTTCACTAATTAATGGAATATGTAAAAATGGTAATAGTATTATCTCTGGGCAGTAGAATTGCTGGGTTTTTGTTTGTATGTGTATCTTTTTTTTTTTTCTTTTTGGTACTGAGGATTGAACCCAAGGGTCCTTAACCACTGAGCCACATCCCCAGCCCTTTTTAATATTTTATAAAGACAGGGTTCCCCTGAGTTGCTAAATACTTCACTAAGGCTGGCTTTGAACTTGATCCTCTGCCTCAGCCTCCAGAGCTGCTGRCATTACAGGCATGTGCCACTGTGCSCAGCTTGTATGTGTATGTTATATACATTTTCTAATTGGTGGACATTATATTATTATTAGGTATTTAAGAAAAAGTTCTAGTAATGAACATATTTATTGATAAAATCATTTACTTGACAAGGTGCTGGACTCTGTGTGAGATAACTAATAAGCAGGAAGGGCTCTGCAGTACTATGAGCCATGTATTCTTCTATTTCATGTTTTATAACTCATTTACTCCTCACAATAACCCAGTAAGTACTAAATAAAGTTATTGTAAGCCACTGTTGGCATCTTCCTCCTCACATACAGATGAAGAATCTGAGACACAGAGTGTTTAAGTAATTTGCCTGAGGGTTCTTGACTAGTAAGTGGTGTGACCTGGATTCACATGCAGGCATTTTGATTCTAGCATCTCTGACCTGAAGTACTCCATCATCCAGTCTCTGTTCCAGTCAACATTGTGGTTTGGTTCAGCTACAATCCATAAAACAGAATTGTGTGTGTGTGTGTGTGTGTGTGTGTGTGTGTGTGTGTGTGTGTGTTTTGCTGGGGCTAAAACCCAGGGTTTCAGTCATGATAAGCAAGTGCTACCACTGAACTACATCCACCAGCCCCAAACAGAATAATTTCAAATAATACCAAGTCATTCCTGAGTGAGCCTGGAGTGAGAGCATTCTGGTGAAGAGTGAAGGCGGTGATGAGAAGGACTCAGTGTGTCCACAGACCCCAAGGGAATGGCTGTACTGGGAATGAGTAATGGGAAGACAAAGCAATACGRTTGTCTGAATATTCTGGTGACAGATCATGTATCTCAAGAGCTTTTATGTGGTCTGGTTAGTAAGTGTCTACAGGATTTAGCATGCTTTACTGGGAAGCAGCCTCTGTGAAATAGATTATGACTGCCTATAATGTATATAACATAAATGTGAAATATCCCAAGATTCTTGCAACAAAATGTTATTTTTTAAAAATTTTTCTTAGGGGCTGGGGATGTGGCTCAAGCGGTAGCRCGCTYGCCTGGCATGCGTGCGGCCTGGGTTCGATCCTCAGCACYACATACAAACAAAGATGTTGTGTCCGTCAAAAACTAAAAAAAAAATATAAAAAAAATTTCTTAGTTGTAGATGGACACAATGACTTTATTTTTATTTATTTTTATGTGGTGCTGAGGATCAAACCTGGTGCCTCACACATGCTAGGCAAGTGCTCTAYCACTGAGCTACAACCCCAACCCACAAAATGTTATTTAGCACAAATTTGCTTACAGGAAGAGCGGAAGAGGCATCACTTATTGAAGAATTTTCTTTACAAAAAAAGTCTAGTTTCACTGAAACAAAGCTCCCCCAGCATCAGCATAATGGCGTTTTCTTTTCTTTCTTTCTTTTTTTTTTTTTTTTTGCTACTGAAGATTAAACCTAGGGGTGCTTAACCACTGAGCCACATCCCCAGCCCTTTATTTATATTTAGAGACAGGCTCTTGCTGAGTTGCTGGGCCCTCGCTGAGTTGCTGGGCCCTTGCTAAGTTGCTGAGGCTGGCTTTGAACTCATGATCCTCCTGCCTCAGCCTCCTGAGCCACTGGATTACAGGTGTGTGCCACCACTCCCAGCATCATAATGGCATTTTCACTGCTGAAACCCTCCAGTAGATTCTTGCTTTACACATCAATACCCTACATCTCATCTGTGAGACCTTCTAGCTATGCTCCAGTTTGGAGGACTCCCAGGTCCAATCTTTAGAGGATTGTCCTGTTTACTCTTTCCTTGCCCTTTGGTCTTCCCTATTTTCTTTTGTCTTTCCATTARCAAGTAAAAACCAGTCCAATCCCAG